ATGAGCGCCACAACCCCAGAGTTGGCCATGACTGGACCTATTGGTCAGGGGTCCCTTTACCTTTACCTTAATTAGACTGCTGAACTAAGATCTGAGAGAGACTAGGGTACATGAAGCTCACCAGACTGGGTGACCTTGTGCCAGCCACTGCCTCTCAGCCTAACCAACAGGATTGTTATGAGGATTTCCATGGGCATCTGGTTGGCCACTGTGAAAGCAGGATGTTAGACTAGATGGCCCTTTGGCCTCACTCAACCAGTTCTTCTTATGCTCATCATGAATGGAACCATTGAGGAAATAAAATCCTATGCTGTTAACCCAAAAGAGCCTTGGGAGATAGTTGTAGGCCGCATGGCTCACACTTCAACACAGAGAGCCAGTGTGGTGTAGTGGTTAAGAGCAGTAGACTCATAATCTGGTGAACCGGGTTCATGTCTCTGCTCCTCCACATGCAGCTGCTGGGTGACCTTGGGCTAGTCACACTTATCTGAAGTCTCTCAGCCCCACTCACCTCACAGAGTGTTTGTTGTGGGGGAGGAAGGGAAAGGAGAATGTTGGCCGTTTTGAGACTCCTTTGGGTAGTGATAAAGCAGGATATCAAATCCAAACTCTTCTTCTTCTTCAACCTCTACCACGGTAGTGAGGATATCTGATGAAGATAATGTAATCATGGAATTGGAAGGGAAGCAAAGGGTCTTCTAGTCCAACCCTCGGCAATGCAGGAATCACAGGTAAGTATATAAATATATATATAAGCAAAACACATCATTTTGTGGTATCCCAGACACCCCACTTCCCCAGAGCAATCTGTAAGTCCACAACAAGACTGACCGTCGACAGGTCACCCACCCTGTCAAATCCCCCCACCCATCGCCTTGGAAGTTCAGAAACCACTGTGGTGCCTACTGAGCCGAACAGTGCAGCCAAGGCTTCTCCCACTCCCTCATGCTGACGGATGATGTATCCATCCCTTGTAAACAGGTAAGGAATGGCTGTTGTCAGACTCGCAGGCAAATCCCCCCTGCCATATTTGTTGCCTGTCAGACTCTGGCCGCCGCGGAGGTGGCATGTGATATGTTACCGCCCACACCAAAGGTAAGAGAGGACCCATCCATCAGCTCCGCAAATGTGCCCTGATAAAAAGAACATCTGAGTCATGGAGGGCTGCAGGGGAAAAGTCCCAATGGCCTGATCCTGATTTTAGCCTGACATACCCATATATATATATATATATAGAGAGAGAGAGAGAGAGAGAGAGAGTCATAAAAAGGTAAAGGTAAAAGGACCCCTGACCATTAGGTCCACTCGTGGCCAACTCTGGGGTTGCGGCGCTCATCTCGCTTTATTGGCTGAGGGAGCCGGCGTACAGCTTCCGGGTCATGTGGCCAGCATGACTAAGCTGCTTCTGGCGAACCAGAGCAGTGCACGGAAACGCCGTTTACCTTCCCGCCGGAGCAGTACCTATTTATCTACTTGCACTTTGACGTGCTTTCGAACTGCTAGGTTGGCAGGAGCTGGGACCGAGCAATGGGAGCTCACCCCGTCACGGGGATTCGAACCGCCGACCTTCTGATCGGCAAGTCCTAGGCTCTGTGGTTTAACCTCACAGCATATATATATTTATATATATATATATATAGAGAGAGAGAGAGAGAGAGAGAGAGAGAGAGTCATAGTATACATAATAAGATAAGGGGAGCCTGCTGGATCAGGCCAACATCCCATCTAGTGCATCATCCTATTCTCACAGTGTCAGATGTGCATGCAGGAGCCAGGCCCTGTGACCAATAGGACTTTGCAGGACTGGGGCCTTCCTAAGTTTGTTCTGAAGAGGCAAGGTGCAGCCACGCAGGTGAGGCCGATTGGTAACTCACAGCACCTGCTGGCAAGAGCCGGGAAGGGATATAAGGTCAGCATTTTCCCTTCAGCTCTTTGCCACAGCAACACGTTCCCTGCCTTGCTGCATTGGACTCCTTGATCCTTGGACCCCTGACTTTGGGACTCCTTGCTTCTTGATCCTCAGACCCCTGACTTTGTGACTCCTTGCTTCCTGACTCTTGGACTCTTGGCTTCTGGACTCCCGTTCCTGCTCCCACCCCTCCATCTTGCCCCCGGTCTCAACATCCCCAGCCAGGACTTCGATCACCCGTGAACTGGACCGTGACACACAGGGGCCAAACAGATGTCCCTTCTGGGAAGCCCATATGCAGGATCTGAGCGCAAGAGCACTCTCCCTATCTGCGGCTCCCATCAACTGGTGTTCAGAAGCCTTGCTACCCCCAACCTTGGAGGCAGACCATAGCCATCATGGCTTGTAGCCTTTGGTAGCCCATGAATTGGTCTAATCCTCTTTTAAGGCCACAGTTTTATCTGTGCACTGTGTAAAGAAGGGTTTTCTTTTAGTGCAGGTGTTTAAATGCATAGGTACTGGGATTTTAACTTGTTCAAATTTTAACTTGTTCAAAATTATCTAGAGTTATGAGGGAAGAGGAAGGTGGCCAAGTCTGCTCTTGATGCTAAATTGTTCAGATTTGTTTTTATATTATTATTATATATCATAATAACACACACGCACACACACACACACACACACACACTACCCCATCCACACAGAAACGTTTAAAGACTATAGCTTGTTGAATCAGGCAAAAAGGCCTGGTTGAAGATGAATGTTTTCGCCTGGCGCCTAAAGATACTCAATGAAGGTGCCTAGCAAGCCTTCCTAGGGAGAGCATCCCAGACTTTTAGAATACATCTGAAGGCAGCCCTGAAGGGGGTGTAACTCCCTCAAGAGCAGGATAAAGGTAAAGGGACCCCTGACCAATAGGTCCAGTTGTGGCCGACTCTGGGGTTGTGGCGCTCATCTCGCTTTATTGGCCGAGGGAGCCGGCGTACAGCTTCTGGGTCATGTGGCCAGCATGACTAAGCCGCTTCTGGCGAACCAGAGCAGCGCACGGAAACGCTGTTTACCTTCCTGCCGGAGTGGTACCTATTTATCTACTTGCACTTTGACGTGCTTTCGAACTGCTAGGTTGGCAGGAGCAGGGACCGAGCCACGGGAGCTCACCCCGTCGCAGGGATTCGAACCACCGACCCTCTGATCGGCAAGTCCTAGGCTCTGTGGTTTAACCCACAGCACCACCCGAATACTTCCTTAAAAAAAGAAGACCAACTTTCCTCATTCCAAGATCACTTTCCACAATCCCCGACTTTGCTCTGCAGTGGCCTGTGGTATCAGCAGCAGGGAAACTCGAAAACCCAAGTATCTCTGGGGGTTTAGGCTTGAGAGAGCTGATGGAAGCAACTGGCATGCCAGGGGAATGCTCCCCCTATTTCCCCATGGGCTGAGCCATCGGAAAGCGTCCCTCTCATTCCATAGAAGCAGAAACTGCGAGATGAAGAGCAGCTCATCTCACCGTGGTGCTATCATGGAGATGCAGCGGCAGATGTTGTCGACGCCATCTCCCTTGTGCGAAAGGTGAGAGAGTTGTTAGATGGGCCTGTGCAGGAAGAACTGATAAACCGCCCTGTCCCCCCCCCCCCCGCCTGCGACTCTACCGGGAATAAGGAGAGATTTCTGCAAGCCTCAGAATGCCAGTGAGACCGTGATAATGGAATATCTCGCTTCCCAGACTACAAAGGATTTTTTTAAAAAAATATATAAAGAAATAAAACCATTTTCTAAAAGGAAAAGAATGTGGCATTGCTCTTCTCATTGGACCAAGAAAGAAAAGAGGATAGACTGGATAGATTGCTAGATAAGATCGGGAGACAGACAGGAAGGATAGACAGACTGGTGGATTTCATAAAATTTATAAACTTGATAGTAAAAAAAAAAGTGATTTACAAAAAGATAGATGATAGATGATAGATAGATATAGATAGATAGATAGATGATAGATAGATAGATAAATGATAGATAGAGATGATAGATGATAGATTAGATAGATGACAGGTGGATAGAGATAGATGATAGATAGATAGGTAGATAGATGAAAGAAAGAAAGAAAGAAAGAAAGAAAGAAAGAAAGAAAGAAAGAGTGGGATGTAATCCACTGGGAACAGTCAAGTACAACATTCCTTGTTTTGCTAGAGTGGACATGCAAGAGAATGTTTAGTCCAGCCAGTCGAAACTTCCTGTTCCTTCTGGCGTGGAGCATCCTTCCTTGCATGTGACTAGTGGGTGGGACTGACCTTTCCAGACCTGGTAAAAGGCCAAGTCACGCTGCTACCTTCCCTCTTTTTGACCTTCCTGTTCGTCCTGTTCGGAAGAAAGGAAGGTGACAGATATAAGAAAGAAAGAAAGAAAGAAAGAAAGAAAGGTGATAGGAATAAGAAAGAAAGAAAGAAAGAAAGAAAGAAAGGTGATAGGAATAAGAAAGAAAGAAAGAAAGAAAGAAAGAAAGAAAGAAAGAAAGAAAGAATGTGATAGATTAAGAAAGAAAGAAAGAAAGAAAGAAAGAAAGAAAGAAAGGTGATAGGAAAAAGGAAGGAAGGAAGGAAGGAAGGAAGGAAGGAAGGAAGGAAGGACGGAAGGAAGGGCTGGCACTTTGTTTGGCTGCTACAGTATGGTAAGAAAGAAAGAAAGAAAGAAAGAAAGAAAGAAAGAAAGAAAGAAAGAAAGATGATAGGAATAAGGAAGGAAGGAAGGAAGGAAGGAAGGGCTGGCACTTTGTTTGGCTGCTACAGTATGGACACAAGAACCTAAGAAATGCCTCTTGGTTTAGGCCAATCGTGGCCCATCTAGTCCAGCCTCTTGTTCTCACAGGGGCCAACCAGATGCCCCAAAGTAGGAGCCGAGCACAAATGCCCCCTTCCCTTCTGCAGTTTCCAGCAATTGTTACCCAGAAGCATTGCTGCTCCTGAGCATGGGCAGAGCATCCCTTATAAATAAATAATTTAGGTTCCGTTTGTTCTACACTACTTATATACCACTTAATCATAAATATTTCAGAGTGGTTTACACAGAACACAGGCAAGCCATAGGAAGGCAGGAGACGGGCCTGAGCTCAGTGGTAGATCATCTGCTTTGGATGCAGAAGGTCCCGAATTCAGTCCCCAGCAGCATCTCCAGGCAGGGCTGGAGAAGATCCTCTGCCTGGAAACCTGGAGAGCTACTCAGACAACGCTGAGCTGGATGGACCATTGGTCTGACTCTGAATAAGGCAGCACTGCAGGGAAGGGAGGGTTGTAGAAGTTGGTGGGGGTTATTGCAGAAGCCAATCTTGAAACCACAGCGTAATAGACCTGAGATGCATCCTGGCTGTTCCTTTCTGCTGTGGTTTCCGTCCATTGAAATGGCTGCCTCTCTCTCTCCAAAATATCCCTGAGTCACAAGCTTTCATTGTTCTTTTTATCGCTCCCCAGAACCACACCAAGGGAGACGTCATGCAGCCAGCAACAACAGCTCTGCTTATTCCCTCTCTTCATCTCTGGCTTCGCCTGATAAGACCAGCTGAGAAGAAAAGGACATCGCTAGCAGGGAACAGAATGTATTTTTATTTTTTAGAGAAAAGAAAGCAACCACCTTTCTGGGGTGGGGTCTCCATAGCAACCTCCAGCTGCCACCATCTCCGAGCTCAGGGGAACCAGTTCTGCTCACCCCATCTTGAAAAGCACTGAAGACGGTGGAGAAATATCAGTGCCATGTATGAGGTGTGTACAGTTATGGTAGCCACGGAGCATGCTCAGATGAGTTTGACGCTGGGTGACAAATTGAGTAATGGGCATCAGGTGAAGATCCCTGCCACCTCTGCGGTCTGTACAACTCATTTGTTGTTTAGTCGTTTAGTCGTGTCCGACTCTTCTTGACTCCATGGACCAGAGCACGCCAGGCACTCCTGTCTTCCACTGCCTCCCGCAGTTTGGTCAAACTCATGCTGGTAGCTTCAAGAACACTGTCCAACCATAACCATCTCATCCTCTGTCGTCCCCTTCTCCTTGTGCCCTCCATCCTTCCCAACATCAGGGTCTTTTCCAGGGAGTCTTCTCTTCTCGTGAGGTGGCCAAAGTATTGGAGCCTCAGCTTCAGGATCTGTCCTTCCAGTGAGCACTCAGGGCTGATTTCCTTCAGAATGGATCGGTTTGATCTTCTTGCAGTCCATGGGACTCTCAAGAGTCTCCTCCAGCACCATAATTCAAAAGCATCAATTCTTCAGCGATCAGCCTTCTTTATGGTCCAGCTACAACTCATAGAATTGTAGTATTGTAGAGTTCAAAGGGATTCTCAGATTCATCTAGGCCAGGGTTTCCCAAATTCAGCCCTCCAGCTGTTTTTGGACTACAACTCCCATCATCCCTAGCTAGCAGGACCAATGGTCAGGGATGATGGGAATTGTAGTCCAAAAACAGATGGAGCCCCAAGTTTGGGAAACTCTGATCTAGACCAATCCCCTGCAATGCAGGAACGTGCAGTTGTCCCATTTGGGGATCGAACTTGTGACCTTGGTGTTATCAGTACCATGCTTCAGCCAACTGAGCTATCCAGCAATCAAGTAGGGAAAACAGTTTCACAGCATGTCAAGCCCCTAATGAGTAAAAGGTAGAGGGACCCCTGACCATTAGGTCCAGTCGTGGCCGACTCTGGGGTTGCGGTGCTCATCTCACTTTATTGGCTGAGGGAGCCGGCGTACAGCTTCTGGGTCATGTGGCCAGCATGACTAAGCTGCTTCTGGCGAACCAGAGCAGTGCATGGAAACACCGTTTACCTTCCTGCCGGAGCGGTACCTATTTATCTACTTGCACTTTGACGTGCTTTCGAACTGCTAGGTTGGCAGGAGCAGGGACTGAGCAACGGGAGCTCACCCCATCACGGGGATTTGAACCGCCGACCTTCTGGTCGGCAAGTCCTTGGCTCTGTGGTTTAAGCCACAGTGCCACCCGCGTCCCTAATGAGTTACATAGCCTTAGAAAGATAGGAAGCTGCCTCATACTAAGGAGGACCAATGGACCATCTAGCTCAGTGCTTTCCGCACAGACTGGCATCAGCTATCTTGAAACAAAACAGGTCTCTGTCACTGAGCTATGGTCCCCTTCTTCAAAGCAAGCTTCTGGTCCTCATAGTTTTGAAGGACTGGTTTCAACAGGAGCACAGGAAGCTTCATTGATGGTAATATCACAACACATTGACTGGTAGTATCTCTCTGGGATATCAGGCTGGGTCATCTCCCAGCCCTACCTAGAGATGTTACCACTGGGGATTGAACCAGGGACCTTCTGCGTGCAAAGCAGGTGCCCTAACAATTGACCTACCACCCTTCTCCTGAGTTCTACAGAATCACAAGATACCAGCCTGAGAGCATCTGGGAGAACCATGGGTTCAACATCCCTAAAGCCAGTGTGGTGTAGTGGTTAAGAGCAGTAGATTTGTAATCTGGTGAACTGGGTTCGCGTCTCCGCTCCTCCACATGCAGCTGCTGGGTGACCTTGGGCTAGTCACACTTCTCTGAAATCTCTCAGCCCCACTCACCTCACAGAGTGTTTGTTGTGGGGGGGAAGGGAGAGGAGATTGTTAACCGCTTTGAGACTCCTTCGGGTAGTGATAAAGCGGGATATCAAATCCAAACTCCTCTTCTTCTTCTTCTTCTTCTTCTTCTTCTTCTTCTTCTTCTTCTTCTTCACTGGACCATCACTTTCCTTTGTTGCCCCCAGCTACCTCCATCACAGCTCTACCTTCTTTTAAAGCGGGGATAGGTAACCCTGTGTGGTGTCTCTGGATACTGCTGAACTAAAATCCCCATCATTATCCCTGATACCATTGGCCACACTGGCGCTGGAGCTGCTGGGATCCCAGGCCAAACAATATCTGGAGGGCCCCAGATGCTCCTCATCCCTGACTGAGAAAAACTGGGTCCTCTCCTCCCCTCAGAGGTGAAAAGAAGCGAAAGTGTCACCAGGCATGCAGCTATTCCACACACCTGTTCCTCTCCTCTCACCAACAAGTCCTGTCAGAATCATTTACAGATCGTATAAATATAATTTCCACAGTCTCGGCATCTCCAAAACATTTCAGCAGGCAGGACCGCTCAGCTTTGAAGAGGAGGAGATGGAAACTTGTATCTTCGCTGTGTCTTTCTGTGTGCTTTTTTCATGCACCCTTTCCCCTAGTATATGAATTTCTGTACACACGGCTTGGCAGAAGAACCTCATTGCAAAATCTGAAGCAGTGCAAGCTTCGAAAGTGGGCTGTGTTTCAGATTCTTTCAGAAATTGAACAGGTTCGCCCTGAAATGTGAACTAAATTGAAATTTCTCCTCCATCCCCTAAGATTTTAGAACTCCTAATAAATCAGCAAGCAAAGCGTGGACCAGTGGCAATCCCCCTGCTCCCACAAACAGAGCAGCGCAATTCAGGATTGGCTAGAATCATTCATGGTTATGAGAATCTAAGAAAAGACTGCTGGATCAGGCCTTTGGGGTCCCATGTAGTTCAGCATAGTGTTCTCAAAGTGGCCAACCAGATGCCCCCAAAGAGGAACAAGCAAAATTCAAACACAAAACCACCCTTCCTGCAGTTTCCAGAAACTGGCATTCAGAAGCATTGATAATAATAATTATTATTCATATTTATACCCCACCCATCTGCCAGGGTTTCTCCAGCCACTCTGGGCAGCTCCCAACAGAATAATAATAATAATAATAATTTAAAAAGTGGTAGAATATCAAACATTATAAACTTCCCCAAACAGGGCTGTCTTCAGATGTCTTCTAAAAGTCAGAGAGTTGTTTATTTCCTTGACATCTGATGGGAGGGCATTCCACAGGGCGGGTGCCACTACCAAGAAGGCCCTCTGCCTGGTTCCCCATAACCTCACCTCACAGGGAGGGAACCACCAGAAGGCCCTCAGAGCTGGACCTCTGTGTCTGGGCTGAATGATGGGGGTGGAGACGCTCCTTCAGGTATACTGGGCCAAGGCCATTTAGGGCTTTCAAGGTCAGCACCAACACTTTGAATTGTGCCCGGAAACATACTGGGAACCAATGTAGGCCTTTCAGGACTGGTGTTATATGGTCTCGGCGGCCACTCCCAGTCACCAGTCTAGCTGCCACATTCTGGATTAGTTGTAGTTTCTGGGCTGGGTCACCTTCAAAGGTTGCCCCACATAGAGCTCATTGCAGTAGTCCAACTGGAAGATAACTAGAGCATGGGTAGGCAAACTAAGGCCTGGGGGCCAGATCCAGCCCAATCCCCTTCTAAATCCAGCCCGTGAATCAGCATGTTTTTACATGAGTAGAATGTGTGCTTCTATTTAAAATGCATCTCTGGGTTATTTGTGGGGCATAGGAATTCCTTCATTTTCCCCCCACCAAAATATAATCCGGCCCCCCCACAAGATCTGAGGGACAGTGGACCGCCCCCTGCTGAACAAGTTTGCTGACCCCTGAACCAGAGCATGTACCACTCTGGCAAGACATAGCTAAGGAGGACTTTATTGGGTCTGTCCCGAGCCTTCCAATCTTCACTGGATGTCCACGAGTCCCAAGCTTTCCTCCATCCATTTTCTTTGTGCTACGCATAATTTGATAAACTTCTATCATCTTGCCTCTCACAACTAAAATGCCCCAATCACTACACTCCACACACCCCCTTGATCATTTTGGGTTATCCACTTCAAGTTCCCTCTTGAAAATCTCTTTCCATTAAAAAAATAAAATAAAAAAGCAATGATAAAAATAGCTAATCCCGCCTTCTTCTCCTCTTGCCCAGCCCATCGCCACTCAGCCTGGAGAGAGCAATTTGTACCCCCCCCCAATTCATCCACCTCATCTTATCACAGCGATACCGCAATGCTCCGCCAAACGGGAAGAAGGATTATGCAAATTGAAAATCAGCTTTTCGGGGAAAGTGGGCTAATCCAATATTACTGAGCAGGCCTGCAGTGGACTGGAAAACGGACCGAGGGGGATGTGTAGGTAGGGGCGATTATTTTTTATATTTTTATTTTTGGATTGGAGGGGGTGGGAACTGTATACATGTGTGCAAAAACTGCTCAAAGCCAGTTACTTGAGAGACCACCATGTCCTCTATTTACTCCAGTAGCTTGGAGGAAGGAGAAATCTGGTTTTGTTCCCGTTTTAATGAGAAACTGCTCTGTCCTTTCTCCTTCTCCCCGTATGTGAACCCAAGCACGGTTTGAAATTTGCACTTTTAAATTGTATTGCTCTTATATCCCCCCCCCGCAAGGAACTCAAAGGGGTGGCTTACACAGTCCTTCCCCCCTCCACATTTAATCCCAACATGAACCCTGTGAAGTAGGTTAGACTGAGAGGCAGGGGCTGGTCCAGGGTTGCTGAATTCCAATCCTCTGCATCTCTGACCACTGCAGCTTTGCAGGTGCACAGAATAAACCTCTGCTTTTAGATGTTAATTCAGGGTTGTGCAACTTCTGACCCTCCAGATGTTGCTGGACTACAACTCCCATTATCCCTGGCCATTGGTCGCACTCGCAGGGGCTGATGGGAGTTGTAGTTCAGCAACATCTGAAGGGCCATACCTGCTCTATAGCCTCTCTGTTATCTCTTGCTGAGCATCCTCCATATGAGGCTGAACAGATATGTCATGACTGACCCTCAGGGAAAGGTTGTTTTTTCCCCTCAGTAAGATCTGAGGTAAAACTCTGCATTTTCCTTTTAGCTCATCTATAAACAACGGGAGTGTCAGGAGTTTTCTCTCTCTTCCATCTCTGAAGAGGCTTCACACGGCCGGTTCTAGGAGACCCCAACAGGGACAAAAGCAGCCCCCGGTTCTTCCTCTGCTGGCACTGGGTCTGTGGCCCTGATCCCTGGGCCCATAACCATTGTCAGGAGTGCAGCTTACACTCGAGTAGGACTCTGGCAGAGACACATGCCCGACTGGCATGTTCCCTCCCTCCTGGTCGATCGTTTGGGAGCTTCAGAAGCTTTCTTCAGCCCGAACATCACAGCGACCAATGCCAACCGACACCGGCACACTTATGGATCTACAGAGTTTGCGCAACTTGCGTTACAGAACTCAGCATACGGTGGTACCTCTGGTTATGTACTTAATTCGTTCTAGAGGTCCGTTCTTAACCTTAATCTGTTCTTAACCTGAAGCACCACTTTAGCTAATGGAGCCTCCCACTGCTGCCACGCCGCTGGAGCACAATTTCTGTTCTCATCCTGAAGCAAAGTTCTTAACCCGAGGTACTATTTCTGGGTTAGCAGAGTCTGTAACCTGAAGCATATGTAACCTGAAGCGTATGTAACCCGAGGTACCAGTGTATTGGCTAATCTACTTTATTTACATATAAACACACACGGAGCACTGCAACATGGCTCCCTCTCTCTCTAGCATCAGACAGCAAAGAGAAAAAGAACAATAGTCCCACTTCATGGAACATACTAATACAAACATCCTGTCTCCGTCACTTCCCACTCTGTGGAGTCAAATCATATACCGTCATGTGAAAGACAACAATCCCATGACTGCAATCATGGAGCAGGAATTCCAACAGGGAGAACCTGCTGGATCAGGCCAAAGGTCTCTTTCAAGCAGCCTAAAGGTAAAGGTAAAGGGACCCCTGACCATTAGGTCCAGTTGTGACCGACTCTGGGGTTGCGGCGCTCATCTCACTTTATTGGCCAAAGGAGCTGGCGTACAGCTTCCGGGTCATGTGGCCAGCATGACTAAGCCGCTTCTGGCGCACCAGAGCAGCACACGGAAACACCGTTTACCTTCCTGCCGGAGCGGTACCTATTTATCTACTTGCACTTTGACGTGCTTTCAAACTGCTAGGTTGGCAGGAGCAGGGATCGAGCAACGGGAGCTCACCCCGTCACGGGGATTCAAACCGCCGACCTTCTGATCGGCAAGCCCTAGGCTCTGTGGTTTAACCCACAGCGCCACCCACGTCCCCTTCAAGCAGCCTACTGTTCTCCAATAACCAACCAGAAGCCCCGGTGAGAAGCTCAGAAATAGGACATGAGCCCAAGTGCACTCTCCTCGGTTGTGATTCCTAGAAACTGCCATTCATTGTAACTATCATGGCTAGCAGCCTTCAACATCCCTCTCCTCCAATCCTCTTTGGAAGCCATCCAAGTTGGTGGCCATCCCCGGTCCTGTGGCAGTGAGTTCCACAGGCTCTGCAGTGCCTGAAGAAGCCCTTTCTTTTTCTCTGCTCTGAATCTGCCAACATTCAGCTTTATTGGATGACCCTGAGTTCTAGCAATGTGAGAGGGGGAATAACAACATGCCTACAAGCTTTGGGTTTTTGCCAACACTTCCATTACCAATTTGTGTGTGTTTGTTTGCTGTTGTATTCAACATTATTCATACACAGACTAGATTCGGAGAAATGAATAGATTTTACTGACCACCATTAATTGAAACGAGGCAAGCGTGTACCCAGTCTGAGGAAGACTGGATACAACCCATTGTTCAAAGTTGAATTTCAATCATTTCAAACCCTTTCTGAAGCTTGTCGATTTCATCAGCATTTCTTACAAATATTTTGTGTATTGCTTTATGTGAACTGCTCAGAGGTCAGCCTGCTAAGTGCCAGGTAAAGCCTTGCGTAGCCAAATATATATTTAAATAACAACCTGCAGGGTTTGGCATTTTATTTTATTTTTTCAGAAGATCCGCTTGATTGTGAGTCCCTGGTTTCCTCCTCCCCCTTTTAATGCAATCCGAAGAGAATTTTAATTAATTAACCAGCCCGATTAATCTATTAAGCATTGCAGCCCTAATTATCATCATCATTAGCATTCCTACTCATAGCTCCACGCAGGGTCAGGTTTTTTGATTTGAATTTTTTTTTTTTTAACTTTTAATGGGCAACTATTTCCTGCGCTACACACTCCCGTCGGCAAGACCGACTCCTAATCTTTTTGTAACGCGCCTGATTCTGCTTCCACGGTTGGCTGCCTTTACAATCCAGCTTGCACGCCAGAGATGTACGGCAAATCAAGAGAGAAGACGGCAGGGAGGGAGAGGGGAGATTGAGAGAGCGAGAGATTTCTCTGTGCACAAAAGAAAACGACACAGACATCCTGATGTACGTTAAGCGGGCTGGCTCCAAATGGAGTTTCAGGGAAAGGGTCTGGAATCAGAGAAGCAACCCGACCTTAAGGTTTTGGGGAACCCATTAAGGGATTCTATCTATCTATCTATCTATCTATCTATCTATCTATCTATCTATCTATATCTATCTATCATCTATCTATCTATATCTATCTATATCTATCTATATCTATCTATCATCTATCTATCTATATCTATCTATATCTATCTATCTCTATCATCTATCTATCTATCTATCTATCATCTATCTATCTATCTATATCTATCTATATCTATCTATATCTATCTATATCTATCTATCATCTATCTATCTATATCTATCTATCTATCTATCTATCTATCTATCTATATCTATCTATCTATCTATCTATCTATCTATCTATCTATCTATCTATCTATATCTATCTATCTATCTATCATCTATCTTTCATCTATCTATCTATCTATCTATCTATCTATCTATCATCTATCTATCTATCTACCTACCTACCTACCTACCTACCTACCTACCTACAGTGGTACCTTGGGTTAAGTACTTAATTCGTTCCGGAGGTCTGTTCTTAACCTGAAACTGTTCTTAACCTGAAGCACCACTTTAGCTAATGGGGCCTCCTGCTGCTGCCAGGCCGCCAGAGCACGGTTTCTCTTCTCATCCTGAAGCAAAGTTCTTACACCGAGGTACTATTTCTGGGTTAGCGGAGTCTGTAACCTGAAGCGTATGTAACCTGAAGCGTATGTAACCCGAGGTACCACTCTATCTATCTATCTATCTATCTATCTATCTATCTATCTATTGCCCTTCATCTGGAAATACCTGCCCTTCTTTAAATGGCAATATTGTTTAATCAGCCAAAGTGCTAGTTGAAGAAAAGCATTTTCTCCTGGCGCCTGAAGATACAGTGGTACCTCGGGTTACAGACACTTCAGGTTACAGACTCTGCTAGCCCAGAAATACAGTGGTACCTCTGATTACGTACTTAATTAGTTCCAGAGGTCCGTTCTTAACCTGAATCTGTTCTTAATCTGAAGCACCACTTTAGCTAATGGGGCCTCCCACTGCCGCCGTGTGATTTCTGTTCTCATCCTGAAGCAAAGTTCTTAACCCGAGCTACTATTTCTGGGTTAGTGGAGTCTGTAACCTGAAGCGTATGTAACCTGAAGCGTATGTAACCCGAGGTACCACTGTAGTACCTCGGGTTAAGAACTTTGCTTCAGGATGAGAACAGAAATCGTGCAGCAGGAGGCCCCATTAGCTAAAGTGGTACCTCAGGTTAAGAACAGTTTCAGCTTAAGAACGGACCTCCAGAATGAATTAAGTTCTTAACCTGAGGTACCACTGTATAGAATGACGGCATACCCTCCAATATTTCTCCAATGAAAATAGGGAGCTCCCAATAATAATTTTATTATTTATACCCCACCCATCCAACTGGGTCGCCCCAGCAACTCTGGGTGGCTACACACATAATAAAACATTAAACATTAAAAATAGAACTTCCCTATACAGGGCTGCCTTCAGTGTCTTCTAAAAGTTGTGTAGTTACTGTACTTCTCTCCTTGGCTTGGGGGTCACATAACTCCATACTCTCAAAAATCCCATATTCTGAAATATGTGGCACAAAACAGGTTTTATTCACACACGTTTTATTTTATGGCCCATATTATGCAAAAATATATTATAAGTATTTGGACTCTTTATTGAAGGAGGGGATGGTCTAAACCACAGAGCCTCTTGGGCTTGCTGATCAGAAGGTCAGCGGTTTGAATCCCTGCGACAGGGTGAGCTCCTGTTGCTCTGTCCCAGCTCCTGTCGACCTAGCAGTTCGAAAGCATGCCAGTACAAGTAGATAAATAGGTACCACTGCGGCAGGAAGGTAAACGACGTTTCAATGTGCTCTGGTTTCCTTCATGGTGTTCTATTGTGCCAGAAGCAGTTTAGTCATGCTGGCCACATGACCTGGAAAGCTGTCTGCGGACAAAAGCCGGCTCCCTCGGCCTGAAAGCGAGATGAGCGCCGCAACCCCATAGTCACCTTTGACTGGACTTAACCATCCAGGGGTCCTTTACCTTTTTTTACCCATCACACCAACTATTCCAGGATGCCCTTTCTGCTGAATAACTGTAGGAATGACGTTGTGGAGAATGTGGAAAGATTTTTGAGTGTCGCCATGAAACTTCGTCAATATAGGTCCTAAGAGCCACCTTTTTATTTCACGATGTCTGGACCATTTTATCCTAAAGTGTCTCCTAATATGAGTCATTGTCAATGTTGTGTTTTGATCCATGTATCAAAGAATACATGCATCCCAAAGAGGAGGTACAAATGCCATAAATAAACCCCAAGACATGGGTGGCGCTGTGGGTTAAACCACAGAGCCTAGGACTTGCCGATCAGAAGGTCAGTGGTTCGAATCCCCGCGATGGGGTGAGCTCCCGTTGCTCAGTCCCTGCTCCTGCCAACCTAGCTGTTTGAAAGCACGTCAAAGTGCAAGTAGATAAATAGGTACCACTCTGGTGGGAAGGTAAACGGCATTTCCGTGAGCTGCTCTGGTTCACCAGAAGCGGCTTAGTCATGCTGGCCACATGACCCGGAAGCTGTACGCCGGCTCCCTTGGCCAATAAAGCGAGATGAGAGCCACAACCCCAGAGTCGGTCATGACTGGACCTAATGGTCAGGGGTCCCTTTACCTTTACCTCCCATCCCAGTGGTGGTCATCTTTGACAGCTCCATGAAGTCAATACCCACAAATGGTTTTTGAGTGCCTTCATCACGAAACAGGGATTTCCAAAGGCTACACACTGTAGATCTCATGCAACTATTCTATGGCTTTGGAGCAAGCTCTCGGCTTCAGGTTCAAAGAAACTTATTTCAAATGGGATGTGCTAACGAATAGACCCAGGATGAAAAGAGACCCCTGTGGTGTTCTGTTCCGGAGGACTGAAAAAAAAAACGGGGTGCCAGGGAGTCAGATGCTGTTATCGGAAGATAACGAAGACATGGAGAAAGTGCTAATGAGCATAATTGGGATGATCAATG